ATATTTGTTCCCCAATTGCAGCAGTGTGCTGGCCACAGAGAGCTTTTGGCTGCTTGATGGCTGGCTGGTGGGGGTGAGGGGAGGGATGAAAACCTGGACCCCTTACCTCAATTTTCCCCCCTGCTCAATCCTGCTCCTCTTACTCTTCACAACTGTAGTTTTCAGAAGCATCACCAATAAACCCTCAGTAGGCAAATCTCAGCATTTCAGTCATTTCCTAGAGAATCCAACCTATGTAGCAATACTACAGCATTTTTTAAAAAATAATTCACATACATTTGATTTATACCACACTGCAAAAGGCACATGACTTACTAGCCAGTTCCAATACAAAAATCTATCACTGGGATAGAACCCTCCAGGTGACATAACAATGTATAAAAAAGTCTTGGATTCTGTTTAGGGCACTTATTCAAATGCTTAGCATACTGAACTAATTGGTCAAGTGTGTGGGTCTCACTCTAGATAATTCAGTCAGCGTCTCCATTATAAGGCCACAGATTTCTCCTGACTCTGGACAATGTCCTGCAAATATGAGTTGTTATTCATAAGGTATTTATATGTGTGGGAGAAGGGGTGAACTGGTATTCATATCTTTCAGTTTAAAAGGCTCTTACCCTACTGCTGACACTGCAGTACCACATTAGCCATGTTGATTTTCCTGCTGCTAAGTAAAATTTATACTTTGGGAAGGGGTTGAGGATGAACTCAATGCTGAATTCTGCTCTTGAGCAAACTATGTTAGAGGGGGTTATTTGGGAGGATACTTTTATTTATGCAAATACAAGACCCCACCTCTGACAGGAAATCCGAGTGTAGCCTTCTGCTGCCATTGCAGCTTCCCTAAGACCACATCTCCTCCTTGTTGTCTAGACAACAGGATGGTGGCCATTTACAAATGACTTCCTCACTTTTCTGATATAGGACTACATGGTCCTAAAGCAGGAGCAAGTGGTGGGGTGGGGAGATTTATGTAAAGTGTCCTCTCATTTATTCCCCAATCCTATGGGAGGGCAACCAATACACCAGCTCAGGCACACAGGCCCCATGGATGGGAGGACTGTTTTCCTAGTATCTTTCTTTCAGGCCTGGATGGGGCAGAACTCAGTCTTACAGGGCACATCGAAAACCTCTGGATCAACAGGAAAAATTCACTACAATTCAACAAGTATTTTTTTAAAGTAAGTGTAGAAAATGGGAAAACCTGGCTGCAGGCCTCCTTGGCCTAACTTTGGCACACAATTTCCCAAAATCAGGTTATTCCTAAAACATTCTATGTGAATCTGTCAGGAAAACATTTATGACTCATTTTACCAGTCTTTCTTGGGTTTGTGGATATCCTCCTTTTTATTTTATTACTAGGGGTTAAACCCAGGGCTTTGCATATGCTAGGAAAGTGCTCTACCACTGAGCTATATTCCCAGGACTTTTTATTTTGAGACAGGGTCTCACTAAGTTGCCAGAACAGCCAAAACTTGCAATCCTCCAGCCTCAGCTTTCCCAGTACCTGGAATTACAGGTGTGTACCACTATACCTAGCCTTTCCATTACCTGGATTCTGCTCCTAACTAGTTTCTTTATTCATGGTACCCCTTCTCAATCCTGCACTCCCCCTCTCAGCCAAATACCCATGACTTCATGATATTGAGACATCTCTGAGTACCTGTAGACTTTAACCATGTGATTCTGGCTCCAAGTTGCAGTCCATCTCAGCTGGCCATCTTCTCGAGCAAGCTGTCTACCCTCCCAGAACCAAAAAAAACTTCCTTATATACAACCACCTGCTGGATGTTACTGATTAGGTTCTTGAGCCACAGATCACAAGTAGCTCCCTCAGGATCTAGATTTCTGTAATCACACTGCTGCCTGGAATATATAAGCTGGTCATAGGCCCAGGGTCCCAGCATAGAGCCTTTGACTCATCTTATGGTTTGGGTGCCTCCCTTGCCACTCAAGAGTATAACAATCTAATTGTGATGGACGTTTCTTCTCATATTTTTGTCATCTTCTGCTCTTTCTGAAATATGGGATAATCACTGGTTTTGGCTGCTGGTTCAGGGGTTAGGGTGAAGGGAAAAGCAGCTTTCCCTCCATTCTTGGTAGTGTTATGCTTCTTTCCTGCTTGTAGTAATTTTGCCACATATATATGCTCGGGAGTCCAGTTAGTCATAACCATGACCTTATGACATACTCCAGTATAGACATGCCCAGTATACACTCCTACATTTTTAAAAATATTCTTCTTTAGTTGTAGATGGACACAATGACTTTATTTATTTATTTTTAGGTGGTATTGAGGATCAAATCCAGTACCTCACCTGTGTTAGGTGAGCACTGTACCACTGAGCCACAACCCCAACCCTACATCCCTACTGTTAATTTGCTATAACAAAACACATACAAAAAAATGATTTCTTGCTGGGCACAGTGGCACACACACCTGTAATCCAAGCTACTCAGGAGGCTGAGGCATGAGGATCATAAGTTTGAGGCCAGCCTGGACAACTTAGTGAAGCCCTATCTCAAAATAAAATTTAAAAAGGGGCTAGGGCTCGGCTCACACTTGTAATCCCAGAGGCTCTAGATGCTGAGGTAGGACTATTGTGAGTTCAAAGCCAGCCTCAACAAAAGTGAAGCACTAAGCAACTCAGTGAGACCCTGTCTCTAAATAAAAAATATAAAATAGGGCTGAGGATGAGGCTCAGTGGTCAAGTGCTCCTGCTTCAATCTCCAGTATCCCCTACCCCCCCCAAATGGGCTGGGGAAGTTGCTCAGTGGTAGAGCATCTACTATCATATATGAGATCCTGGATTCAACCCCCAGAACCACACACAAACACACACAAATGTTTCTCTTTCACCAAGCTAGTTCATAATGGTTGGCTACAATGTATTAAACACATACTACATGCAATATAAGATACTAAATACAAACACTCTTATTATATTCTATAACAATCTTATTCAGATCTCTCAACAACTATGCTAATTCTCCCCGCTCAGTCAAATGAAAATGATCCAATATCAGTGCTTATTGGGATTGGGGGCACTGCAGAGCACTATCTTAAGGACTTGTTTTGTAATTGATGCTACAAATGACACAAGCATTTAGTGGTCAATTAGTTTGGTAGTTTTCAAATAGTGGGTTTTTTTTTTTCCTTTAGTAGACCACAAAATGTAAGCCAGAAAAAAGCAGAGCTACTTTGATTGAAGAAGCAAAGAAAGGTAAGATGCTAGAGCCTTCCCTGATGTGCCTTCCTTCCCCTTCCCACTCTCCATATAAGATCCCAGAGACAGGATTGGGGATGTAGCTCAGTGGTAGAGCACTTGTCCAGTACTGCAAGGCCCTAGGTTCAATCTCCTGCACTGCAAAATAAGATAGATAGATAGATAGATAGATAGATAGATAAAATTAAAACCACCAATCTAATCTAATCTAACCTCATAGGTGAGATGTATGTGAGGACTTGGGTTCAAACCCCAATATAATTCCCATCCAAAAAAATTCTATAAGGTGGAAATAATCTTACAGGTAAGAAAACTGAGGCCAAAGGAGAAGAAGGGAGTTGGCCAGGGCCACACAATGATTTGTTGCAGGGAATTGCTGGAATTGCATGCCATTTGGGGCTTTTCCTCTTCCAGTTCCTGTCCAGGGTTATCCATCATCACCACACCTACCCCACTCCCCCAAAAGCCTAAGTTGCTGCTGCTATCATAATTGATTTAGTCTTCTTGGGTGAAGCTCTGAATGAATTCCAGTTTTTTTCAGGTGTATTTTTGTTTGTTTTTGAGATGACAGTTTTGCCATTTCCTAGATCTGATCTTTGGACATTCCAACCCACCCACATCTTCCTGCATGCATGAGTCAGTGAATGAGGATACTGTAGCCAGTAGAGCCATCCAGACCTTTTTCTTTTTTTCTTTCCTTCTTTCCTTCTCTCTCTCTCTCTCTCTCTCTCTCTCTCTCTCTCTCTCTCATATTTATTTTTTAGTTGTAGTCGGACACAATACCTTTGTTTTATTTATTTATTTTTATGTGGTGCTGAGGATCGAACCCAGGGCCTCGCATGTGCTAGGCGAGTGCTCTACTGCTGAGCCACAACCCTAGCGCCTCTCTCTCTCTCTCTCTCTCTCTCTCTCTCTCTCCTGGGGATTGAACCCACTTGCTTTACCACTGAGTCACATCCCAGCCCTTTTTAAAAATTTTATTCGTTTATCTTTGTTGTTGTTGTGTTGTTTATGTTTTTTGGTACCAGGGATTGAACACATGGGCGCTTAAACGCTGAACCTCATCCCCAGCCTTTTTTTAATTTTTTGAGACAGGGGTCTTGCTAAATTGCTTAGGGCCTCACTAAATTGAAGCCGGCCTTGAACTTGCAATCCTCCTGCTTTAGCCTCTGCAATAGCTGGGATTACGTGTGAGGCCCTGAGTTTGATCCTCAGCACCAGATTTGGTACTTCAGAAAAGGAACCGGCCAAAGAAACGCCTGCGTGGGAGAAAAGTCTTGAGCACTGGGTTCGATCATTAGCACCACGTAAAAATAAACAAATAAAATAAAGGTACGCTGTCCATCTACAACTACAAGTGCGTTTCTACTTCATTTTTCTAATTCTAATTTCGTGGCTCTTAAGCTCCCCAGAACTGGAGTGTGCACCCCACAAACCATCTCTGAATCTCTGGGGCCCAACACAGACTTCACACTGAACAGGAATTGGTGTATTTTAAAAAGGACATCCTGAAGAGTAGAGTCAAATTGTCACCCTCTACCCTATAGATTACGAAGCTCTTCGCAGGCAGGACGCTCAGTTGCGCCTCCTTGGATGCACTGAGGTAGAAGCAGGGCAGAAGCCGCTACTCGCTCTCTACAGGTGAGGAAGTGTCGGTAGCTGCTCAGTGGTCGTTTAGCCGCACCCGCGGCTATTCTCTGGGTCGAGCCCCTTGGTCTATCTGCACCTCCGCAGACCTTTCTCGTGAGGCCTGCCGGGAATTGTAGTCCCGTGTCCCTTGTAGCCCATACAGACAACTACAATGACCAGCGTGCCCCGCGCTCCATGCCCCCCTTCTCTTTCAGCCTCAGACGCCCAGGAGGCTCCAAGCATCTGCTGACTGGAAACGGATATGGCGGCCACTCTGGGCAGCGGGGAGCGCTGGACCGAAGGTACCAGGTCCTGGCTTGAGGGTGGGATAAGGTGGCATTCCGGAGAAATCAGGGATGGGGCTCCTGAAAGAGCATAAAGGTTGGGATCCTGATCTCGAGGTGAAGGATGGAGGCCTGTAAGAAGATGCTAAGCTTAAGTAGCATTCCGAAAAGGGTGGAGGACCGCCCAGGATACAGGCCAGAATCCCGGAACGGGAACTCTGGCCCGAGCTAGGGCCCTGGAGGGAACTTAGAGTCACCGGTGACGATTTGTTGCCTCCGGCCCCCAGCCCCGCCCTGCCCCGTGCCCCGCCCAGGGCCCCCGCAGCCATCCTGCCCCTCCTTCACCGGGGTAACTGGAGGGTCCCCCGGGTGCTGCGGTCTCCTGCAGCTTGCTATCTTAACCTTATCTATTACCCCATCAAACTGGGCCGCACGACCCTCAGTCCTGGTTTGATCTTGCCCCTGCAATATGAATCAGGACCTATAGGCTGCCCTTTTCCATCCTATAGCCAAGCAAAAAGTATTGATCCATTACTTACTGTGTTGAACCTATAATGGGGATTTGACAGACATGGGCCTCTGAGCCGACAGAACTGTAGGCTCAATGAGAGAGTTTGAAGGGTTATCAACTAATTACAAAACAAGCCCAGTAAGCCTTGGGCTAACATAGCAAGGTTGAGAGTTTGAAGCACACTGATAAGGCCCAGCACAGCCCTGAGTGTCAAGGGAGGCTTCTTGAAGTAAATGTTACAAATGATGGTATGAAGGATTCATTGGAGTTAGGCCCACTTATAGGAGTAGTGTCAGGGAGCAGTGGGTAGTCACTGAAGGATGTTAAGCAGGAAATTATGTTTTTAAAGCCTTTCCCCTATTCTCCAGACAAGACATGAGGCTCTGCTCTCTTTGAATTCATGAAACTCTCTTTACATTCTGCTGGTGTTATGATTTATTGAATCCTCTCCTATTAAACTAACCTCTTTGTGGTTAGGAGTAGGTCTTACTCCTACATTCCCCCCTGAACTATCTAGCCAAGTTTCTTTGTATGTATAATTGTTAGTTTAAAATAATTGAGTTTCTCTTTACTTTAAATCTTAGGAGTAAGAGGCATTGCAAAAAAAGTTTCATTTTCTGAGCAATGTTGCTTCTGACCATGGAGCAGAGAGAAATAAATTTCCCCCTGTATTGCACTAGAAGCAGGGTTTTGAGTAGATGCCCCTTTTCTGACTTTATTTGATGATTGACCATTGTTAAGTATGGTAGACTTTCTATACTTCATGTTTCTTTTCTTTGTTCTTCTTTTTCCCTTTGTAGTACTGGGGATTGAATCCAGGGGTACTTTATTACTGGCCTACATCCACAGCCCTATTTATTTATTTACTTTTTAGTTGTTGATAGACCTTTATTTTACTTATTCATATGTGGTTCTGAGAATCGTACCCAGTGCCTCACACATGCCAGGCAAATGTGCTACCCCTGAGCCCCAGCCCCAGCCCTGCCCTTTTTATTTTAAGGCAGGGTCTCACTAAGTTGCAGAGGCTAGCCTGGAACTTGTGATCCTCCTGCAGACTCCCAAGTTGCTGGGAATATAGGCTGTCCTTCATATTTCTAGCATTTCTAAGTTTTTCTCAGCTGCTTTCTCATATTTTCTGTAATAGTTTTCCAGGAAAGATGTTTATTCAGCTTTGTATAGATACTCAAAAGTCATCATGATGGGTATATAGCTTATAATAAAGCATTTGCCTAGCGTGCTCAAGGCCCTAGGTTTACTCCCTAGGACCACTCCCCTGCAAAAAAAAAAAAAAAAAAAAAAGTCCGCATAATGTCCTTTGCCTCTTCCTAATACCTTCCTTCTCTTGTCTCCAAGCAACCTCTAAGAGAGTTAAGGCATATAGCAAAGTTGATTTGCAGAGTCAGGCAGAGGCCTTATTAAGAAGCTATTACTTTGCAGCTTACATTGATGCAGTTAGAAGAAACAAATACCCAGAAGACAAACCTCCTGAGAGTCATGACCCCTGTGGTTGCTGTAACTGCATGAAGGCACAGAAGGAAAAGAAGTGCGAGAATGAGTGGAATCAGAACCGACAGGGTGAAGGGAGCTCCACTTATACTGAGGAACAACTGCTTGGGGTACAAAGGTAAGCATGTGGTGAGATGAAATGAATGATTGTATGTAAAGTGCTTAGAAGAATGCCTGGCACAAAGGATGTGCTGTGTAAGTATTGACATTATTACTTCTATTTTTAAAGCACAATAGCTTCTTGACCTCATAGGAAAGACTGGGTAGAAGAGGAATATTGAATATCGGGTATAATGTGAGCTGTCTGCCCTGCTATGGCTTTAAGAGTGGCAGAGGAAACCAGCTAGACATTACAGATATCTGTTAGAACATTTTATCTAACGACCAGAGAATACACATTCTTTTCAAGGATACATAGGATATTCTTCGGAATGGACCATATCTTAGGTCAAAACAAATCTCGATAAATGTTAAAAGATTGAAATCATAAGCCATGATTTCATGGTGGTGCGATGCATACCTGTAATCCCGGTTGCTCAGGAGGCAGAGGCAGGAGGATCTGTGGTTGAGTGCCCCTGGGTCAATTCCTGGTCCAAAAAAAAAAAAAAAGGAAAAAAGAAAGAAAGAAATCATACAGTGTATATGCTGCGAAATTAATAACAAAAGGAAATTTGGTATACTTACAACCAGTGGAAATTAAACCACAAAGTCCCCAAAAACAATTATGTCATGGCAGATTAAAAAAATCCCTTTTTTGGGGGGGGTTGTGGTACTAGGGATTGAACCCAAGGTCTTGAGCATGCTAGGCATGTTGTACCACTGAGCTACACACCCAGCCCCTAGAAAATGCTTTAAGGTGAATGAAAATGAAAATACAATATACCAAAACTATGGGATGCAACTGAAATACTGCTTACAAGGAAATTTATGACTATAAAATTATGAGTTTTGTTTTGTTTTTTAGTTGCAGTTGGACACAATACCTTTATTTTTTTTTTTTTTTACTTTTATGTGGTGCTGAGGATCGAACCCAGGTCCTAGAATGTGCTAGGTGAGCGCTCTACTGCTGAGCCACAACCCCAGCCCCTACTTATGTGTTTTTTTAAAAAGACCATAAATCAGGGCTGGGGATGTGGCTCAAGCAGTAGCGCGCTCGCCTGGCATGTGAGCGGCCCGGGTTCGATCCTCAGCACCACATACAAACAAAGATGTTGTGTCCGCTGAGAACTAAAAGATAAATATTAAAAAATTCTCTCTCTCTCTCTCTCTCTCTCTCCTTAAAAAGAAAAAAAAAACAATATTTAAAAAAAAAAAAAGACCATAAATCAGTAACCTAATCTTCTACCTTAGGAAACTAGAAACAGAACAAAGTAAACACACACAAGCAGGATAAATAGAATAATGTAACATAGAAATAAATGAAGTAGAGAATGGAAAAACAATAGAGAAAGTCAATAAAATCACGAGGTAGTTCTTTGAAAATATCAACAAAATTGACACATCTTTGGATAGACTGGCCAAGAAAAAAAGAGAGATGGCTCAAATAACTAAAATCAGTAATAAAACAGGGGACATCACTACTACTACAAAAATAAAAAGGATTTTTTTTTTTTTTGTACCAGGGATTGAACCCAAGGGCACTTAACCACTGAGCCACATCCCCAACCCTTTTTATTTCTTTATTTTGAGACAGGGTCTCACTAGGTTGCTTACAGCCTCACTAAATTGCTGAGGCTAGCTTTGAACCTTCAGTCCTCCTGCCTGAGCCTCCTGAGTCACTGGGATTAGAGGTGAGCACCACCACTCCCGGCTAAAAAGGATTATAAGAGAATACTATGAACAACAAATTAGATAACCTAGATGAAATACACAAATTCTTCTGTCTGGATTGAGAAATAATGGAGGAGAGGGTGCCAGGAAGGGTGGGCACTATTAAAACACAATATGTGCATGTATGAAAAACGTCACAGTGAGCCAGGTCTGGTGGTGCATGCCTATGTATCCAGCAACTCAGGAGGCTAAGACAGTAGGATCACAAGTTTGAGGGTAGTCTCAGCAACTTATTGAGACCCTGTCTCAAAATAAAAAGGGCTGGGGGTATAGCTCAGTGTTAAAACACCTCTGGGTTTTATCTCCAGTACCACAAAAAGAAAGAAAGAAAGAAAATGTCATTGTGAAACCTGTTAATTTATATGATTAATATTGGTTAGTATGTATTTTTTTAAAAATTAGAAAAATTAGCTTGGTGTAGTGGTACATGCCTATAATTCCAGCTACTTGGGAGGCTGAGGCAGGAAGATCACAAGTTCAAGGCCAGCTTGTGCAACTTAGTGAGACCTTGTCTCAAAATAAAAAATAAAATGAGCTGGGAATTATCATGTGTGAGGCCTTGAATTCAGCTGACTTCACTGGTAATTCTACCAAACATTATTTATTTATTTATTAGTACTAGGGATTAAATTTAGTGGTGCTTAACCACTAAGCCATATCCTTAGTCCTTTTTATTTTTTATTTTGAAACAGCATCTCACTAAATTCCTAACCACTAAATTGTTGAGGCTGGTCTTGAACTTGTAATCCTCCACCTCAGCTTCCCAAGTCTATGGGATTACAGGTGTGTACAACCACATCCAGTTCTACCAAACATTTGAAGAATTAATCCTTCATAAACTCTTACAAAAAAATTATGAATGAAGTTAATACTTCCAAACTCATTCTGTAAGGCTAATGTTACCCAAACCAGACAAAACACACACACACACACACACACACACAAATAAAACCACTGGGGCTGAGGGTATAGCTCAGTGATAGAACCCTTGTCTAACACACATGAGGCTCTTGGTTTTATCCCCACCACAAAAGGGGAAAAAAAGGAAAGAAAGCAAATCTATTAACCATTATCCCTTTAGATATAGTTCCAGAAATCTTTAATAAAATACTAGCAAGCCAAATGCAGCATTTTGTAAAAAGAATTATGCACCTTGACCAACTGGAATTCATCTCTGTTTAGAAACATTACATAACACAAAAATCAATCAGTGTAATATACTGTTAATAGAATAAACAACCAAAAAAAAATGCACACTCATTTCAATAGTTACAGAAAAAAATATTTGACAGACTGGGTATGGTGGTGCATTCCTGTGATCCAAGCTACTCAGGAGGCCGAGGGAGGAGAATTGCAAGTTTGAAGCTACTTAAACCGTACAATTTAGGGAGATCCTGTCTCCCTAAGGGAATGTAGCTCACAAACAGAGTGCTTGCCTAGTATATGTAAGATTCTGGGTCCATTTCCTAGTACTCCACTTCCCACACAAACACAAAAGCATTTGACATGATAAAAGCTCTCATATGAACTAGAAGAGAACTTCCTCAATATGATAACAGTCATCTACAAAAAATCCATAGCAATATTATATTTAATGTTAAAAATCTCTGTTTTCCCACCATGATTAAGAAAAAAGACAGGTAAGATCTACCCCTTACCACTTCTATTCAGCTTTTTTTTAGAGGTACAGGCCAGGGCATTTAAGCAAGAAAAAGAAATAAAAGCCAACCAAATTGGAATGAACAGTAAAATTATGTCTGTAGATAACAATATCTTGTATATAGGAATCCTAAGGAATTGCATACACACAAAAATACTATTAGGACTAATAAGTTAAGCAAAGGTGTTAAGATATAAGATCAATATGCAAAATTAATTGTTTTTTATATACTGGCAATAAATAATCTAAAAATTAAGTTAAAATAATTTCATTTATAAATGCATAAAAAAAACCAAAATGCTGGCCAGGAATGGTGGTGCACACCTCCAATTCCAGCAATTTGGAAGGCTAAAGCAGGAGGATCAAAGGTTTGAGGTCAGCTTCAGCAATGTGGTGTGGCCCTACACAACTTAGCAAGACCCTGTCTTGAAATTTAAAAAAAGGGCTGGGGTGTAGCTCAGTGGTGGAGTACCCTGGGTTCATCCCCTGTACTAAAAACTTTAAATAAAATAAATAAATAAATAGATATATAAGACTTGTACATTATGAACTATAAGACTTCATTAAAGAAATTAAAGAAGACCTCAATAAAGTAGAAGATATATTTTCAGAAATTAGAAGGCTTAGCATTGGTAATATGAAGATAAGCGCCATGGCTCACATCTATAATCCTAGCAGGTCTGGAGACTAATGCAGGAGGATCTCAAGTCAAAGCCAGCCAGCCTCAGCAACTTAGCAAGGTCCTATGCCCTTAGTGAGACTCTGTTTCAAGAAATAAATAAATGAACAAACAAACCAACAAACAATTAAAAAGGGCTGGAAATGTGGCTCAGTTGGTTAAGTGCCCTGGGTTTAATTCCCAATACCGAAATAAAATTTTGATAATATAATATTCCTCAAATTGATTTACAGATTCAATATAATTCCTATCAAAATCCTAGCTGTCCTTTTTTTTAAATATGTTTGAGTTATTGATGGACCCTTACTTTATTTGCTTATTTATACACAGTGCTGAGAATCAAACCCAGTGCCTCACACATGTGAAGCAACGCTACAACTCCAGCCCCTAGCTGTCTTTTTTAATTTTTGTTTTTGATAGTATTGGGGATGGGGATTGAACCCAGGGACTCACACATTTACTAAGCAAGAATTCTACCGCTGTGCTACATCCCCAGTCCCTTTTAAAATATTTTTTTTTTGAGGTGGAGTCTCACTAAATTGCCCAGGCTAGCCTTGAATTTGCAATCCTTCTGCCTCTGCCTCCTGAAAAGCTGGGATTACAGGGGTGCCACCACACCCAGCTCTATCTGTATTTTATTGAGAAAATTGACAAGCTGATTCTAAAATTCATAAGGAAATGCAAGGGACCCAGAACAGACAAAACTATTTTGAAAAAGTGGAATGAAATTGAAGGACATATGCTTCCTGATTCAAATCTTAGCACAAAGCTACAATAATGAAGACCATGCAGACTGATATAAAGAGAGACATATACATCAATGGAATAGAATTGAGAGTCCAGAAATAAACTTTCATATTGATTTGGCGGGGGTGGGGGGGTACTCAACCACTGAGTCACATCTCCAGCCCTTTTTGTATTTTATTTAAGGTTTCACTGAGTTGCTTAGTGCCTCACTGTTGCTGAGGCTGGCTTTGAACTCTAGATCCTCCTGCCTCAACCTCCTGAGCCATTGGCATTACAGGCATGCACCACTGTACCTAGATGGACCATTGATTTTTTTTAAGTTGTTGATAGACCTTTATTTTATTTATTTAAATGTGGTGCTGAGAATCGAATCCTGTGCCTCACACATGCCAGGCAAGTACACTACAGCTGAGCCCCAGCCCCAGCCCACTGATTTTTTTTAAATGTATTTCTTTTAGTTGTTGATAGACCTTTATTTTATTTATTTATATGCGGTGCTGAGACTCAAACCCAGTGCCTCACACACGCCAGGCAAGTGTGCTACTGCTGAGCCACAGCTCCAGCCCCTTGGACCATTCATTTTTGACAAGAGTGCTAAGACATTCTCATGGAGAAAAGAGTAGTATTCAACAATATTGTTGGAGCACCTGGATATCCACTTGCAAAAGAATGAACTTGGATTCCTACCTTGAACCATATACTTAAATTAACTCAAAGACCTTAAGACCTAAATATAAAAGCTGAAACTATACAACTCTTAGAAGAAAATATAAATGTAAGTCTTTATGTCATTGGATTAGGGAGTGGTTTCTTAGATATGACAACCAAACCTAAGTGACAAAAGAAAAAATAATAGATAAATTAGATTTCATCAAAATTTTAAAACTTTTGGGCCTGGGGATGTAGCTTTGGGGTAGAGTACTTGCCTAGCATGTATGAGGCCCTGGGGTTCAATTATCAGACATGGCGGGGGGGGGGAACTAAAGCTTCAAAGGATGCTAATTCAAAAATTAATATTTCAAAGAATGTTATCCATCAAAGCCATAGCTGGGTGTGGTGTCACAGGTGTATAATCCTAGCAATTTGGGAGGCTGAAGCAGGAAGATTGCAAGTTTGAGGCCAATTTAGCAGGGCCCTATCTCAAAATAAAATAAAAAGGGTGGGGGATGAAGCTCAGTGGTAGAAGACCCTGGGTTCAATCCCCAGTAACAAACAAAGAAAGAAAGAAAGAAAGAAAGAAATCTGGAGCCCTGGGTTCAATCCCTAGTAATCAATCAATCAATCAATCAATAATTTGGAATAAGCAAATCTACAGATATGGAAAGTAGATAAGTGGTTGCCAGGGGCTAAAGGAAGGGAAGATACTGTGTTATAGTCCAGCCTGTTGCTGATTTACTATGCATTCCTCAACAAAATTGTGGGCCTCTGCATACCTAAGTGAATTATATAGTAGCCAAAGATTAGAGGCATTTTAAATGCTCGTGATTATGGGCTGGGGATGTGGCTCAGGTGGTGGCGCGCTCCCCTGGCATGGATGCAGCCTGGGTTCGATCCTCAGCACCACATACAAACAAAGATGTTGTGTCTGCTGAAAACTAAAATGTAAATTTAAAAAAAAAAAGTGTTTTTTTAAAAAAAATAAATGCTCGTGATTAGGGATGTATATGCATCCATACTATACAAAAAGATGGATTAATGCTTTTTTTCTGTACCTGGGATTGAACCCAGGGGTGCTTAACACTGGGCCACATCCCTAGCCCATTTTTTGTATTTTATTTAGAGACAGGGTCTCACTGAGTAGCTAAGTGCCTCGCCAAGTTGCTAAGCCTGGCTTTGAATTTTCAATCCTCCTGCCTCAGCTTCCTGAGTTGCTGGGATTACAGGCATGTGCCACCTCACCCAGTTGACTAATGCTTTTTTAAAGAATGAGGTATAGGGGCTAGGGTTGTGGCTCAGTGGTAGAACACTCACATAGCACTTGCGAGGCGCTGGGTTCAATCCTCAGCACCAAGTAAAAATAAAATAAACATATTGTGTCTAACTACAACTAAAAATATATATATTGAAAAAAAAAGAATGAGGTAGATATACAATACTTAATGTTTAGTATTAGATGCTATTAATCACTTTGATAAATGCTTTATTTAATCATAGCACTAACTCTCTGAAATATGAGTATAATTTTAGTTCATTTTGGAAGGCAGCACTAAGGTTAAATATACAGGAGGATCAGATTCAAACCAAAGTATTTTGACCTTAAGTTCATATTCTAGTCCAGTAGTTCTCAAAGCATGGCTTGGGAACTCCCAAGACCTTTCCAGGGTGCTCTGTACATTTAAGACTATTTTTATAATGCAAACATGTTACTTTTCTTTTTTACTCTTATTTTCTTATGATTATACAGGGAAGCTTTTGAAAGTCTATATGGCATAATTATATCATCACTCTATTTTTTAAATATTTGTTTTCAGCCAGACACAGTGGCTCACTTCTATAATCCCAGTGATTCGGGAGGATGAGGCAAAAGGATTACAAGTTCTAGCTGGATGCAGTGGTGCATACCTGTAATCTCAGCTACGTAGGAGGCTGAGGCAGGAGGATTGTAAGTTTGAAGCCAGCCTCAGCAATTTAGTGAGGCTCTAAGCAACTAGCAAGACTCTCTCAAAATACAAAAGACTGAGGATATGGCTCAGGGTTTAAGCACCCCTGGATTTAATTCCCAGTACCAAAAAAGGGGAGTAGTGTGCTAGGGGTGTAGTTCAGTGGCAAAGTGCCCCTCGATTCAATCTCCAGTATTTAAAAAAAAAAAAATACCCTGCAAGATGAAAAAAGTGATGATGTTTCCTTTAGGCAAGAAAAAATGGGGTGGTTTAGTTGCATATTCTCTCTATACATAAAATTCACAAAAAACATCTAATGGTGGTTTTCCCTAAGGTGGGGTACAAGGGAACCAGGAATGAGGGAGCAGGAAGATTTTTCATTGTATATACTTTAGTACTGGTGGCTATTTTTTTTTTGCTGTGTGTATATATTAACTTTTTACAAACACAGTTTAAACAGATAGCCATAAGGGAAATGGGAGGAGGGACCTAAATAAATAAATAGGGTAGTTAGCTATTTCTTCTGGCTTTGAAATTCAGTGGTTCATCTCTTAAAATCTGAGCCTGAACTTTGATGTAAGGATTAGTATTCTTGTTCTATCCACTCACAGGAATATAGGGAAAATAAAATACTAGATCTAAAAGTACTTTGAAAGGCATTAAAGCCTGGATGGGAGGATTTGAATGTTTCATTAATGAGTTCACTAATTTTCTTTTAAGTCTGTTTTGAGTCTCACAGATTGAAGGAGGATTGATGTACTATTTTGCAGCTAATAATATAAAAATGCCCTTTGTAAACATATTTCTGATTATTTCTCTTTTTATAGGATCAAGAAATGCAGAAATTACTATGAAATTCTGGGAGTTTCTCGAAATGCCAGTGACGAAGAGCTTAAGAAAGCTTATAGAAAACTTGCTCTGAAATTTCACCCTGACAAGAACTGTGCTCCAGGAGCAACAGATGCTTTCAAAGGTCTGATTCTGAGCTGATGCTGAATTTTTCCCTTGTTATGGTTTCTCATAGCCAGTTGTTTTCAACCTTCCCTGCAGTTGTTTTATAAGACCTTAAGCAGGTTTTTTTTCTTGCCACACTTCATAAGTAGTGATTATCAGCAAAGCTTTCTCCTGCCTTCATCCATGTAACCTTAATTTGATTTGAAAATAAAGTATTTGGTTTCATTTCCTTATTTTTGTGATACTGGGAATTGAACTCAGGTCCTCATACATGTTAGACAGGTTTTCTCTCATAGAGCTACATCCCCAGCCCTTTTTATTTTATTTTGAGACAGTGTCTTGGTAAGTTGCTGAGGCCAAGGGTTGCTAAGGCTGGCCTCAAATTGAAGATTCTCCTAACTCAGTTACTCAAGTCGCTGGGATTACATGTATGTGCCACCACACTTAGCTCAGGGAAAAAAAAAGAAAAAAAAAAAATATATGTATTTTTTTAATTGTCAATGGATCTTTATTTACTTATATGCAGTGCTGAGAATTGAGCCTAGTGCCTCACACATGCTAGGCCAAGTGCTGTACCCCAGCCCTGAAATATATATATATATATATATATATTTTTTTTTTTTTTTTTTTTTTTTTTTTTTTTTTTTAAGAGAGAGAGAGAGAGATTTTTTAATATTTATTTTTTAGTTCTCGGCAGACACAACATCTTTGTTTGTATGTGGTGCTGAGGATTGAACCCGGGCCACACGCATGCCTGGCGAGCGTGCTACCGCTTGAGCCACATCCCCAGCCCCAGAAATATATTCTTAAAAAAAATATTTTGGGTTTGGCAGAGTGATGCACACCTGTAATCCTAGTGACTTGGAAGGCTGAGGAAGGAGAATCCTAAATTCAAGGCCAGTCTGATTATTTATTTTTGTATTGTGGATTGAATCCAGGAATGTTTTTATGTTACTCAGGTACATCTCCAGTCTTTTATTTGAGAAAGGGGCCCCCTAAGTTGCAGAGGCCCTATGAAACTTAGTAAAAACCCAGTCTCAAAATAACAAAGGGCTGGAGGGGCTGGGGATATAGCTCAGTTGGGAGAGTGCTTGCCTCACATGCACAAAGCCATGGGTTCAATCCCTAGCACCACAAAAAAAAAAAAAAAAAAAGAGGGAGCGGGGGGTTGGAGACTTATTTCAATGGTAAAGTACCCTGGTTTCAAACCCCAGTTTTGGGGGAAAACATTTTTTTTTTGGCCAACATATGAATAAAAATTTAAGAGCATGATTCACAATGAAGTCATTGATTAATGTAAGACTCATCAGTAGATGCTAAAACTATTGGATGATAGATTGTTGTTCCATGAACTTAAAGTTTTATCCCACAGAATACTTACTGATTACAAAGGGGAAAAATTCCTCTATAATGGAGAGACCTGGGTGTCACCACTATAACCAAGTAATCCAACTTAGCATTACTAATACTAGGACAACCTAACATGATAGAGCACCTGCATGGTATCTTGTCAATTTTTTTTTTCCTTTTTTTGGTACTGGGGATTTAACAGGAGTGCTTACCCACTGTGCTACATTCCCCAGCCCTTTTTATTTTTTATTTTGGATAAGGATCCAAAAGGGTCTAGTTAAGTTACTTAGGACCTTGCTAAATTGCTGGGGCTGGTCTCAAACTTGCAATCCTCCTGCCTCAGCCTGCTGAGTCACTGGGATTACAAATGTGTGCTACTGTGTCCAACCAAGAACATATTTTTGATGCATGAGTGTTGGACAATTGGAAGACATTTCCCCAACATGTCTGAGACTTGCAGTGATTGGCAATCTGAACTGAGGCACTGGGTCCCAATTTCCAGGACAGCTATGATGATGTAAGAACTTTTTTATTTTATTTTTTTTTGGTGTTACTGGGGATTAAACCCAGGGCCTTTGCATGCTAGGCAAATGTACTCTACCAATGAACTGCATTTCCAACCCTTTTAAAATTTTTTTAATTTTATTTTTGAGACAGGGTCTCACTGAGTTGTCCAGGCTGGCCTCAAACTTATGATCCTTCTGCCCTAGCCTCCCCCAGTGGCCCACCAGGATCAGTTTCAAGTTTTTTTTTTTGGTATCAGGGATTGAACCCAGCGGCACTTAACCACTGAGCCACATCTCCAGTCCTCCCTAAATTGTTTAGGGCCTCGATAAGTTGCTGGAGCTGGCTTTGAACTTGGAGTCCTTCTCCCTCATCCTCCTTAGCTGCTGGGATTATAGGCAAGGGCCACTACGCCTGACAAGAATTGATTAAGAGTTAACTCTCACATCAGCAGTTTTTGTTTGTCTGATTTCAGCGTTGTTATTTCTGGCTTACCAAACTAGATCACAAGCTATCACAAGCACTTTGGGGAAATTTGCAGGCCAAAGATCCTCTCCTTGGGCCCTTGGAAAGTTGTCTAACACCAATCAACTCTGGGCTCCTCATTGCTACTGCTGTGATTACTCTCAACCACAGTAAAGACTGTGCTCATGTGCTTCTTCTTGGTTGCAGCAATAGGAAATGCCTTTGCGGTTCTGAGCAATCCTGATAAGAGACTCCGCTATGATGAATATGGAGATGAACAGGTGACTTTCACTGCACCTCAAGCCAGACCTTATAATTATTACAGGGACTTTGAAGCTGACATCACTCCAGAAGAGCTATTCAATGTCTTCTTTGGAGGCCATTTTCCTACAGGTTAGTAACCCAAAGCTATGATTCTTTTTTTTTTTTTGGCCAGGAATTGAGGCCAGGATTTCTCTACCACTGACCTACATCCCCAGCCCTTTTTTTATGTTTCGTTTTGTTTAATTTTGAGATTTCTTTTTTTAAGGTGCCCAAGCTGGCCTTGAACTTGTAATCCTTCTGCCTCAGTCTCCCAAATCACTGGGATTATAGGTATGTGTCACTGCGCCTGACCAATGTTATGATTCTTAAAAATATTTCTTTATTTATGGCTTGTAACAAGCTCCTGTTTGAAGATCTAAATAAAAGGACAGTGGTTTGATGGGAACAACAGGAATTTCAAATCAGTTGCACAGGAATTTGAAGCAAATCTCAAGCCTCTAGTTGTGGATAATTTTGACCAGTATTTAGCATTTCTCATTATCTAGTTCCTCACCCCAAAAATGGGGCTGATCATAATGTCTTACTTTGCAAGTTGCTATGAGGATTAGATAAATATATTTAAGTGTTTTATAAATGAATAGAAAAAATACTATTATCATTATAAAAATAGCAGTTATAAATACATTAGAAAATTACCCCGTCAGTACATGGCTATAATTCCCACAACTCTGGAGGCTGAGGCCAGACAATTAGAAGTTTGAGGCCAGCCTCAGCAACTTAGTGAGACACTGAATAACCCGGTGAGACCCTATCTATCTCCAAATAAAAAGGGTTAGGGATATAACTTTGTGGCAAATCACCCCTGGGTTCAATCTCCAGTACACATACACAAAGACACAAAAAGCAAAAGAAAAGAACACAGGCCCAGTGGTATGTGCCAGCTACTCAGAAGGCTAAGACAGCAGGATCACCTAAGTGTACAGGTTCAAGAGTAGCTTAGAGCCAGGTGCAGTGGCACACACCTGTAATCCCAGCTAGTTCGATATCTTTCTGTTTCAAAGTGAAAAAACAAAAAGGGATTGGATATAGCTTGGTGGTAGAGTGCCACTGGGTTCCATCCCTGATTTTGCAAAAAAAAAAAAAAAAACTAGCCAGGAACATAGCAAGATCCCATCTCTAAAAAACAAAAAAGATTGACCAATGAGCATCCAATTCAGTGTTAAAATGTTTTAAAAAGTATCTTCTAAGTGTGTTAGAAATTGAGATAATTCAATATCCAGGAAATAAATGGAAAAATTTTTGTGGTACCAGTGACACAATCTGATTTTAGTCACAGAAGTAGTCCTAGGATTCATGGCCCAAATGTACTTTTTCTCTCTCAGAGCCTTTCAGTGTTCTCTCCCTTATTAGTTGCAAAAGACTATTTAAACCAAGTGAGAAGAGCTAAGCACCATTTGTCTCCAGCTGACTTATGTCTTACCTATTCTCTTCTACTGGGTAAAATAGGGCAATACTGTATCCTTAAAGAACCTAGTTTGGAGTAAATATCTTGCAAGAAAGGAATGTTTGCCATATCCTCTATTAAGTGGCTATTTTCTTTCTTTTCCAGGAAATATTCATATGTTTTCAAATGTGACAGATGACACTCACTATTATCGACGGCGGCATCGACATGAGAAAACACAGACACGGAAAGAAGAGGAAGACGATAAACCTCAGGTGCCTAGGGAAGAAAGGAGAGCTGCTGCTCATAAACAGTTGTACTGAGCCCACCTTTATTGTGCGTGATCAAGTTCTAGAAGTTAAACTTGAGATATGTTGCCAAAGTATCCTTTAGGGAAGCAGAGGCAATAGTGTGAAGAGCTGAATCATTGGCCCAAGTAGGCCAGAATGGTAACCCCATCCTGCCCACCTAGTTTTTGTGACTCTCCCAGTATTTCAGACTCTGCCAGTATTTCAGTCTTCCTATGGGGATGGTTTCTTCTTCTTCTTCTTCTTCTTCTTCTTCTTCTTTCTTCTTTCTTCTTTCTTCTTCTTCTTTCTTCTTTCTTCTTCCTTCCAGGGACTGAACCCAGGGGCACTTAATCACTGAGCCACATCCCCAGCCCTTTTTATTTTATTTTTTATTTTGAGACAGGGTCTCATAAATTGCTTAGGGCCTTGCTAAGTTGCTGAGTTTGGCTTTGAACTTGCAGCCCTCCTGCCATAGCCTCCTGAGCTGCTGGGATTATAGGCATGTGTCACCAAACCTGGCAAGGAGGTTTTTATTTTTTTTTTAATTCTTTTACACAATACCTTTATTTTATTTATTTATTTATTTATTTTTATGTGTTGCTGAGGATCAAACCCAGTGCCTCTCATGTGCTAGGCAAGCGCTCTGCCGCTGAGCTACAACCCCAGCCCCATGGTGCTATATCTTGATCAAGGTTTTCATGACTACAAAAAATAGGACCCTCCTTTGAAATATGCAGAACTAGTCAGGAGTGGTGGCACATGCCTGTAATCCCAGCAATTCAGGAGGCTGAGACAGGAGAATTGCCAATTCAGTGCTAGCCAGGGAAATTTAACAAGATTCTTTTTTTTTTTTTTTTTTTTAAAGAGAGAGAGAGAGAAATACTTATTTTTTAGTTTTCGGCCGACACAACATCTTTTGTTTGTATGTGGTGCTGAGGATCCAACCCGGGCCGCACGCATGCCAGGCAAGCGTGCCACCGCTTGAGCCACATCCCCAGCCCCTAACAAGATTCTATCTCAGAATAAAAAGAGCTGGAAATATAACTCAGTGGTGAAATATCCCTGTATTTAATCCCCAGTACTGCAACAAGCAAAAAAATTAAATTAAATTAAAAAGGATGGTAATATAGTTACCATAATAATGGTAGAGTGCCCTTGAGTTAACTCCCAGTACTACAAAAAAACAAAACAAACAAAAAAACAGAACTAAGGGTTCAAGGGAGTCTCATGAAATTCAATGGCAAGAAGCACAGCTGGGCCTCCTGACAGATAGGAACCATGAACTGGGTGCTGGCAGGCTTCCAGGCAGTTAAGCTCACCATAATTTTTAAATTTTTTTTTTTTTTTGTACTGGTGATTAACCCCACAAGCACTTTGTCACTGAGCTACATCCCAGCCCTTTTTATTTTTTATTTTGAGACAGGATCTCGCTAAATTGCTTAGGGTCTTGCTAAGTTGCTGAAACTATCCTTGAACTTGAAATCCTTCTTCCTCAGTCTCCTGAGTCCCTAGAATTACAGGCATGCATCACCACACCCGGCTCACCATGTTTTTTTAGGGCCAAATTATCTCCAGTTTTCCCACCACGCTACCTCTCTTTTGTTCTTTCTAGCAGTCTTAACTTGTTCTACTTCCCCTTTCAAATGGCTGGTTCACAGCTTGTAAGAGTGAGTATGTATCCTTTTTTCAAATGCCTAGCAGCAAAGGGTGATGAATCTCAACCCCAAATTCCCCCCAAGGAGGAAGAATGTGGTTATCCCTGCTAGAGTTAGATGTCTCCCAGTTCAGTCAGCTGTGGCCAAGGCAAGAGTTGCCTCATATTAATATGGCTTCTAAAGTCCCAGCACTGTGAGAGTCACAGTCTGGGAAGACCTTAGTTAGAGGTGTCTGCTTCATTGGTCTAGGGCTGCAGGAAGATTGCTCGGAGTCAGTCCAGTTTGTGGGTAGGCCTCCTTCATCCTTCTCAGCAAAGAGTATAAATAAGGTTGCATGGTACCTCTCAGTTGCTGGTACAGCCTTGCCAGAAAAGCCTTGGGCATTATGGACTCTGTGCAGTGCTTTGATAATTTGTATTTTCTTTGAGACTTCTTTGCATTTGTATTTTTTTATATTGAGAAAGGAAACTTCTACTAAATATTTTTTTTCTTTATTTTTAGACCACGTATTCTGCATTTATTCAGTTACTTCCAGTTCTTGTGATTGTGATTGTATCTGTCATTACTCAGCTGCTGGCTGCTAATCCTCCATATAGTCTATTCTATAAATCGTAAGTCAAATACTTATAAATCTTCTTTAATAATAGTCTGGTGAATGAAAGTCTTGAAGGTTTTCTGATATATTACTAACGCTTTGTTTCACCTTTCACTGTAGAAAACACTGATTTTATATTTAAAGTAGTAATAATGCAGACTCAAATGCTGTAAGCAGTCTCACGTGTGCTTTATGAGATAGAGTTTGTTGTTCTACAGTGACATCATCTGGTCAGCTGCAGAACAGCAACCAGTGGTTTCTGAAGGATCAATAGAATTCTGAAGAGTTCTATTGAAGAAAGTCCTTCTCTCACCATGGTGAGTTAGAAAGGACACTAATGAACTTGTAATAGAGTTACTGGACATTTGAAGCCTGGGGGGATAGTAACTTGGACCCGATGATGATTTTCAACTTAAAAAATTACAAGAAGGGGATATTTATTTATTATTATTATTTTTAAATATTTGGGGGGAATATTTATTCACATAATTTTGTTTAATACATTTTTAAGAAAGGGATATTTATTGATATCACATTTGTTTTTGCCAAAAATGTAGAGAATCAGGATGCTTGTTAATGCATATAGATTATAAACTCTTAATAGGAAAATTTTATTTCTTCAATTAACTATTATTGTAATCATTGCAGTGCTAAAGCTTGAACCCAGGGCCTCACACTTGTTGGGCAAGCTCTCTATCACTGAGCTATACCCTCAACCCTAATTATTTTGATTAATTTAGCTCTCCAAGTTAGGTCCTTAGACCAGCATCATCAGAATCAATTGGCAACATATTAAAATGGCAAACTTAGCTAGGCGCATTGGCCCACACCTATAATCCCAGTGATTCAGGTGGCTGAGGCAGGAAGATTACAATTTCTTTTTTTTTTAATATAATTTTTTTAGTTGTAGTTGGACACAATACCTTTATTTTATTTATTTATTTTTATGTGGTGCTGAGGATCAAACCCAGCCCCTCTCATATGCTAGGTGAGCACTCTACCGCTGAGCCACAACCCCAGCCCCAGAAGATCACAATTTCAAAGCCAGCCTCAGCAATTTAGCAAGGCCCTAAGCAACTTAGTGAGACCCAGTCTCAAAATAAAAAATAGGGCTAGGGTTGTGGCTCAGTGGTAGAGCACTTGCCTAGCATGTGTGAGGCACTGGGTTTGATCCCCAGCACCACATTAAAAAAAAAAAAAAGTAAATAAACAAAATAAAGGTATTGTGTCCATCTACAACAAAAAATGTTTAAAAAGTAAAAAGGGCTGAGGATGTGGCCCAGTGGTTAAGGGGATGAGGGGATTTAGCTCAATCACAGGTCACCTGCCTTGCTTGGACAAGGCCCTTGGTTTAATACCTTGTACTGCAAAAATAAAGAAAGAAACAAACTCTTAGGCTCTCCTCTGTATCTACTAAATCAGAAACTCAGGGAGTGGGTACCAACCATCTGAGTCTTTTTTTGTCTTGTTTTGTTTTTTTCAGTACTGGGGATTGAACCCAGTGGCAATCTACGATTGTGCCACATCCCAGCTCTTTTCATTTTTAAATTTTGAGACAGGGTCTTGCTAAATTTCCCAGGCTGGCATCTTACTTGTGATCTTCCTGCCTCAGCCTCCTGAGTTGCTGAGATTAGGCATGCACCACTGAGCCTGGCTAAAATCTGAGTTTTAGGCACCAAACCCAGTGATGCTTTACCACTGAACTAAATCCCCAGTCCTTTTTATTTTGAGACAAGTTCTTGCTATGTTGCTGAGGCTGGCCTTGAACTTATGTCCTCCTGCCTCAGCCTCCCAAGTTGCTGAGATTGTAAGTATGTGCCACTGCACGTAGATAACAACCTGGAATTTTAACAATACCCTCAGATGATCCTGGCCCATACTAAAATTTAAGAATCACTGAATTAGTTATTTTTAAAATAATAATGGAATCTGGGCTGGGGATGTAGTTCAGTGGTAGAACTTATGCCTAGCATGTATGAAGTACTGGACTCTATCCCCAGCACCACCACCCAAAAAAATATTCTCTGAGTATCAGACAGTGTTGGGTGACTTGGACCCAGGGAGTAAGCCCTGAGGCATCACTGAAATCCCTTGTCTAGCCAGACAGTGGCCCATGCCTATAATCCCAGTAACTGGGGAGGCTGAGGCAGAAGGATCATGAGTTCAAAGCCAACCTCAGCAAAGGCAAGGTGCTAAGCAACTTAGTGAGACCCTGTCTCTAAATGAAATACAAAATAGGGCTGAGAATGTGGCTCTGAGGTCGAGTGCCCTTGGGTTCAATCCCTGGTACCCCCACCACCTCCCCATCACCCCAAAAAAGAAAGAAATCCTTTGTCTACATTTTTTTTGCAGTTGTCACTTAGCAACTCTGTGTGAAGTACTTTATGTCATGTCCTAAAAATTGGTTCTAGGTTGTAGGAAGCTATATAGTTTTTTACAAGTGTTTTGCTCTAATATTAATCAGCTCATGCAACCAGCATTTACCTATAGCCTACTCTGTGAGGTACTATGCTAAGTCCTACACAATACACAACTTTTATTTATTTTTCAGCATTCAGCATTTTACTTTTTATATAGAGACCAGTATAAGAGAGGTGAATCTTTAAAGAGAACAAACTATATATGCTGAAGCTGAATTCACAATATGAACGTGCTCATGTTAATATTGATAATGAAGGCTTTTTGCTTTCTACTTTACTAGGGAAATAAGAAGTTTTGAGTATATTATAAAAATGGTATCTGCCTCTGGGCCTGGGGTTGTGGCTCAGTGACAGAACGCTCGCCTGGTGTGTTTGAGGCATAGGGTTTGATTCTCAGCACTGCATATAAATGAATTAATTAAATAAAGAGTCATTGACAACTAAAAAATATATATATTAAAAAAAAAAAAACAAAAAAACTGGTATCTGCTTCTGCCCTGTGAGGAGGTGATGGTGACATGGAGTCTACAAGGCTAGAGCTAGGAGTGACATTGCCAAATACTGCAAACTCTCCAAGCCTTTCACTCTTTGTTTCAGGACCTTGGGCTACACCATTTCCAGAGAAACTCAGAACCTGCAGGTGCCTTACTTCGTGGATAAAAACTTTGACAAGGCCTATAGAGGGGCTTCTTTGCATGACCTGGAGAAGACGATAGAGAAGGATTACATCGATTACATCCAGACAAGTTGTTGGAAGGAGAAACAGCAAAGTAAGATCTGTCAAAGGGCCTTTCACTAATGGCCAGACTCCCAGCATAAGGTGGACCCAGCTTCCTGATCCCTTCTCTCTTCTTGTTGGGGTTATATATTTATGTAAACAGAGACAGAGGCCCATTCGTGATGCAAAAAGGGAGGAAATTCTGACAGGATTCATGTGCTCAGGACTTAGAAATTGTAGAAACTTAGGCAGTGCTTATTGCCTCTCTTTGGGTCTCTGCCTCTCTCTGCCCATCTGCTGCACTGTCCTCTCCGCCATCTACCTTTTATTTCCTCAAACATCTCTCCTTCATAACTGTTGCTACCCTCCTTGTTGCTCTCCCAGCTTCCAAATCCCACCTGTCATTGGCCCATTTCTTCATTACAAGCTCCCTCGTGAAGCTCTTAATGCTAGTCCACAGTTTTGGTCCATAATTTCCAAATTCCACATTCCCCAGAGGGAAATCTGATTGAGCTAGCCTAACTTTTTGAATCACGCCAAATGTTTAGATGTTACTCCTATTGAGTCAGGTGTCCCCTACCCTCACCTCTGTTGACTGTGGTCACACAGAATAAAAATAATCCTCTGATTCTGCCTCTTCAATATGGGTGAATATGAGCAAGTCCTGCACACTCTTTTCTTCTCTGGAGACAGTGAGAGTGACAATATCTGCCTCTTGGCTTACAACTCCAGTTGTTACTAGGGAGAGCTGGCAGCTGGGCTAGCCCAACCTCAGCTAGCAGCTTCACTTTGTATTCCACTTGAATTACACACACACACACACAAAAAAAAAAAAAAAAAAAAAAAACATTAGGAATTGTATATTATAAAACTAGGCTTTGGTTAATTTTTTTTTCAAAGTAAATGCTAAGTCATCTTTTAAACCTTATTACTGGGTATAGTTAAACATCTAACCGTGTCTGTTAAAATTAGCTACTTGGTCATAGCTAAGGCCTCAGTGACCCATCACACACTCCCAACCCCAACCCCCAGTTCATCTGTCCTTCCTGTATGATCTTAAACCACTTTGTTCTTCCTGCTAGCATAGTACTGATTACATAGTATTAATGTTCCATGGGTACCTGTCAATCTGACGTGCAGGACTACTGGTTCTCCAAAGATAAGACGACGTCTTAACTAATTTTAATGTCACAAGCTGCTGGCACAGTCCTTGCTTCAAAACAGGTGCTCAACAAATGTCTTTGGAGGGTGCATTCTCAGGAGTGGAAAGGAATGGAAATGCTGAGGATTATGAATAACAGATCAGGGCTAATGTCTATTCCTGATCTTTATGGGTCTCTTGTTTCTGTATAGCAGAACTCAGCCGCTCTGTCAAGGTACATTAATTGGTGGGCAGTGACTCTAGGACATAATGGGCAATTCAACAGGAGGAGGAATTTGATTTTTTAATGAAAAAATGGGTAAGCTGTGTGCAGTGGCACACTCCTGTAATCCCAGCAACTAGGTAGGCTGAGGTGGAAGGATTGCAAAGTCAAGGCCAACCTCAGCAACCTAGTAAGACTGAAAATAAAAAATAAAAAGGGCTGGGGGTGTACCTAAGAAGTAAAGTGCCCGTGGATTCAATCCATTGTACGAGAAAGAAAATGAGAAAGAAAGGCAGGGACAGAGGGAGAAAGGAAGGAAGAATTTTGGGAATAAGATAAAGGCCGGGGCTAAAAGACTTTATAAAGATGGATCCAAAACAAGTGAAAGCCATTGAATTCCTAAACATCTCCATTATTCTGGACACTAGGAGGGTCTTGGATATGTTGCTCAATGCAAGAATTGAATGGGAAAATCTATATTTCATATCTTTAAAACATACATATGCCCCCACATCCTACACACACACACACACACACCCCTTCTTCTGTGGCATTAAAATGTTAGAACTATACAAAAAGTTCTGGTAGAAATTGCAGTGAAGGTGGCTTCTAAACTTTTGTTCCCATCTACTTGAGGCCTAGTTTTAGAGCTTTGGCACAAGTAAAAATCCAACGAGTAAGTGGGCTGCGTGCACTCACAGACTCTGAACAGGGGTTCATATCATGTACCCCTTAAAAATCTATTTCTGGCATTTAAGTACAATGGCTGAATGGAGCCTCCACACTGCTCAAGTGCCATTTGAGAACAGGCAGCATCTGCCTTCTGAATCCAGCAGCAAATGCAGCCAACAAGGTTAAATTTAGCACTTGGAGGTTGTAAAAATAAACCCACTTGAGAACAGAGTTCACTCTTGGCAAAATACAAATGGAAACTGTTTTTATCAAAACAAAGTTAGCCATTATCTTTTTGAGTCTTATTTCTGTTCTCTGCTTTTCCTTAGAATACTTAATCTGGATTAATTTTTATGAGTTATTCTTTACTATGAACACTGATTGCACTGGGCGGGGCGGAACAAAAGTAACAGCTGGGAACTGCATCCTGGCCTAGTTGAGCTGACTAAGACCCTGACTGGACCCTGCCCTGACAGAGGCGCACTTCTTAACATGCCCTTGAACAGGTTAATGAGTGGGTAGAGGCAGAGGCTTTGAAAATGGGAATTAACTTCCTCCTGGAAAGGGTATATGGAGTATAGGAGATTGTGAGGGTATAACTCAGCACAGTGCCTGGCATATAAATGCCTGATTCCTGGTGGAGTTCAGGTTTTTGCATGGCCTTGCATTGTAGACTGGTGGCAACAATGTCTCATGGGGCTGGATCCTGAGGGTAGTTGGGATTTGTTGGGACCTTCCAGCTGTCAAGCTCCAATCTGGGCTCTTGCACAGACTATTCTTGAGAGAGGCTCTGGGATTTGCTTTGCTTGGCAATTTGCCAGAGTCAGTTTACCTTCAAGGCTCAGTGCTCTGTCCATCTGTTATACTGGCATTAGGGGCAAAGAGGAACATTTTGTTAAGAAAAGATGTTCTCTTGATCCTCCCCTCCCAAAGATTTTTTTCAGCTACTTAAAAGTTACTGAATATTAACAAAATTCATCAAAATAACATTCTTTGAGTTGACGTTTTGCACATATAAGAGTGAAGGGATTCACCTATAGTTTGGAGAGGTTTCTCAAGAGTGTGGTAGAGAGGGTGTGGGACACCACTCCTTGAAATGCTGACCTTATGCCAGGTCATCACTTTGGAGCAGGGGTCCCTGACCCAATTTCAACAGTTTTATGAAAAGAATGTGATGTTTTGAGAAAAGCTTTCACACATGTGCAGTTATCTTTCATCAGCTTGTTAACAGTGTTCTCCAATGTGGAAAATATGAGGAATCAGTAGCCTTTAGTGTTTTCTGGAATGAAAATTCAGGGAATGAGGCATTTTAAAAAGGCCAGTAACCAAAAAACCTAAGGAAATAATGTCCATGAAAAGCAAAACCACAGAATCTATTCCATATACTGGTGTAACTGTGATTCTGAAGGACCAAAAGCATAGACTGATTTCATGGAAGATTCCTGATTAGGTTTCCCACATGACAGAGAAGCTGGAGAAACATGCTGAGTTCTGGGCAGGACACAGGAACAGAGGATTTTTCATTTGGGTGCCGCACGTGATCCTCTATGAAGCACCATCACCTGCAAGGCTGACTCTGCCAAGGCAAGCTCTAGCTTGCTGGCGCTGCAGGCACCCTCCCCACGGGGTGAGAGCACATTGTCCTAGAGCCTAGGGGACTCGCTGCTTGCCAAGTCACTGCTGGGCTAGAGCCCAGGCTCTGCAGCTCCATTGTAGAGGGAGGGTTTTCATGCATATCCATCCCTCACCCTGGAGTCCTGCACTTAATCGCACTTTGAGTCCTATGCGGTGCAAATAGAATTATTGTGAACAGAAATACCAGCAAGTGCTTTGTTTTGATAGAAACTTATTCAGAAAGCAGTGGCCATTGTTTCTCCTGGCTAAATATTAATTCCTGTTTCCAGGCAGTTTGCTGATTAATCAGACAGGTGCCTCTTGTTCCCCCAAGAAAAGCAAAATCTGTCACCAAGATGACTGAGAATGATTAGACATATTTTAAAATGATTAAGATAGTATTTTCACAAGTGTGGTCCTTTAAATATGAAGTAGCTGCCTGCTGTAGGAGGCTCTATGAAGCCATACGCCATCCAGGCATGCCCTCCTATTAATGTGTCCTGTTGGGCATACCTCTGAAGATGCTTTTTAGGCCTTCCTCAATTAGAATATTTCTGAAACCTCACAAAAGAATAAAAAGTCAATAGAGCCAAACCACCATAGGGTCAGGGAATACAGCAGAGATTATATTCTAGTTAAAAATAGAATGACCTTCTCTATCATGAAGAGAAAATGAAATTCATTTAGCCAAGGAGACAAAGGTCACCAGATCCAGATGATTTCATTTTAAGAGTCTCATTCTCTACTGACTGAGCTAGTTGGACACTATGATTTCACTTTTAAAAGAGCCCAGTTGGGCTCACCTAGCATACGTGAGGCACTGGGTTCGATCCTCAGCACCACATAACTATAAAATAAATATTTAAAAAAAAGAGCCCAGTTGCCTTTGGCCTTTAAGTTGGGGACCCCACATGTAGAGAGAGAGAGAGGCAGTAAAGAAAGCCACTAGGAGCCTGGCCTTCTGTAGACACTTCCCAACAGAGATAGGCCCTGTGTCATGTGAGTTATGATCCATCAAGGCCAGAGAAAGAATGAAGCAGCTGTCTTTGTTTCAAATGACAGGAACAGGCCATTGGACTTCAGTCTCTCCAACTGCCATCTGAATACCATTGGTGGGAAGGTGGTGACAGTCTCCTCTTACTGCACACATGCATCTTTCCTAAGTCTGGTGCCAAATGTTTTATAGATAAGAACTACATCCAGTGCTTTTATAATAGAGCACAGACTGTAGGACAGCAGGATCACAGGTGTCCTTTAATCCTCAGCACCTGGTCTAGTGCTAGAACATGTTTCTTGAATAAATGAGTAAACGTTGCTTAAGTTTATTTATTTATTTTTTTACTTTTATTTGCATTTATTTTATGCTGAATTTATTCTCGTGCCATGAGTTTCTGTTTGTTCAGTTTCTTTTGGGATATCTTTTCCTTCTGTGCAACCTCCTTTTCTGGTTTAGGAACAGTTTGTTCCTTTTCAGTGAGAATCATCTCAATGTGGCATGGTTTATCTGACCATGAGCTCTGTAAATACAGCAGCGCATCTTGGTGCTTTGTTCATTTGGGTATGTTCAGTCATCAGAGAATCTCTGTCTAAACCCTTAAGTTCATTACTCTCTGCATTTTTAAGCATGAGGAGCAAAAATTCAGCATTCTTTTTGGGCTACCAACCCTATGACCAGCTCCACTCTTTGGCCTGGCATACCTCCCAATTCTACCATTATAATTCCAGAATGGCACACATTATTTCTTTAAAGTAACATCTTTGCTTCGGGAGGCTGAAACAGAAGAATCACGAGTTCAAAGCCAGCCTCAGCAAAAGTGAGGCACTAAGCAACTCAGTGAGACCCTGTCTGAAGGTGCTTTTTAGGCTTAAACTAAAAAATAGGGCTGGGGATGTGGCTCAGTGGTCAAGTGTCCCTGAGTTCAATCCCCTGTACACCCACCCCGCCAAAAAATGTGACATCTTTCAGGTACTTGGTATCTTTTCGCCTATGCATGTCCCTGATGGCCTATGCAGTTTCATGGGTGTTCTTAAACTGAACTTGAGAACCTCTTGATTTACATCATTTTGTGGGGTTTTTCGGGTCAACAGAGTAGGGAATCATTTTCACAGATCACCTCAGGCAGCTTACAGGAAGAACTGTTGCTTAAATTTAAAGGAAAAGAAAAGCATTAAAATAAAAGGCACTTTGGGTGGGCATGGTGGCGCATGCCTGTAATCCCAGCAGCTTAGGAGGCAAGGCAAGAGTATCTCAAGTTCAAAGCCAGCCTCAGCAAAAGTGGGCTGCAAGTAACTCAGCTGAGACCCTGTCTCTAAATAAAATACAAAATAGGACTAAGGATGTGGCTCAGTGGTTGAGTGCCCCTGAGTTCAATCCCTGGTACCCAAAATAAATAAATAAATAAATGGCACTTTGATTCTAGAAATGTTGAAATGAAACAAGCTCAACACTTGATGATTTTGTTATTTTTTTTTTTTTTTATCTTTCAGAATCGGAGTTGACAAATTTAGCAGGATTATACAGAGATGAACGATTGAAACAGAAAGCAGAGTCACTCAAACTTGAAAACTGTGAAAAACTTTCCAAACTTATTGGCCTCCGCAGAGGTGGTTGAGAGAATGATGGTCCAGGGCAGGGTTGGGGTTTTGTTACTTGTTACTATTTATGTTCCCAATTCCATTTTATAATACAAAATTAGGAAATGACAAACATTTTACAATTTACTAACTTTGTTTACTGAGCAGAATTAAGAGCTTGAGCATGGAGCCAGACTTGTCATCACAGATTCCTTCCCAGGGAGTGGCTCCCAGGATAGGAACATTCCTAAGTGACATGAATGGCAAAGTGTTTCACTGAGCCCCCTTGCGCCAGGCCAACCCCTGCCTCTGTGAATGTAGTTAAGGGCATCCCAGAGAAGATCTACATTTTTTCCCTTCCCTTCTTCAGTGAATTTTCAATACCTAGGTACCCCTGGACTTATCCAAAGCAGCTTTATATTACTTACAATGTCTGAAAAATTATACCTCTCCTTGCATTAGAGTCATCATCTCCCCTAAGATTCAGCCTTCGGAACTTGTTCCTGTTCAACTTTCCATTTTCTAAGGGGAATATGGAGACATTTAAACTATTTAACCAATAGTTATTTGTTATCCTAGTCTGTGTTCAGTCAGGGGCATTAGCAAACTGACTGATTCGAGGTTCTTTTATTTTCCTTACTCCTCCCTCCCGTAGAGGGGCCAGAAATTAGAAACTGTTGAGCTGTGATACAGTTCCACTGACAACTCAGCAGCAGGAAGCAAGGACTGAGGGAGAAGATAAAATGCAAGACAAAGTTTCAGCTCCTCAGCGCACATTCTCAAGTATATCACAGAACTAGAGAATGTTCTTTTTGTCATTTCCCCTTGGTATCATCATTTGGTATCATCGTTTTTGAGCCAAGTCCCTACACCCCACAGAGGAACAGTGATCAGACCTAAGAGGAGGCATTCCAGCCAGGCTATGGCTCATGCCTAGAGACGGAAGGGGAAGATTGCCTCTGTGTCCATTAGGGGCTAGCATTGGCCCAGCAGTCATTTTGTTTTACCCTCGAGTTTGTGGTATAAAATGGTTTTCATTCATTCAACATTTATTGAGTGCCTGCTATAAAACACAGGCTCTCACATATATTTTTTTAGTGAAGCTTCCTCACAACTCAGTGAAGTAGGTGTATTATCTCTGCTTTTATGAATGAGAACCTTGACCAGAGAGGATGGTTGACCTTGGTTATACAACTGGCAGTGGTAGAACTGGTTGGTAGGCGGATTATCAGTGGAAAATGTGAGAGCTCATCCTCATTTCTCAGGTGATTCAAGCCAGACTGGCAAAGCAGCATCTTTCCCAAGGATGCCTCTGTTGCCCACAACCCACTCCTCTGTTATTTTTATGGCAGTCCTGCATTCCTGTTGTTCATTAAAAGCAGGACCACATGAATAAATTCTGTATACAAAGTAAGAGTTTCCTTAAAGGCAGGCAGCCCTTCCCTCTGGTGACAAGGAAGAAATAAGTCGCTGCCTAGACTATGTGGTTCTACGCTTTTCCTGTGGAAGGGAGCGACTTGGAATGCGCTGCCCAGATTATTATGAGCCTCTGAAATTGAAAGGACCAGGAAGATGACCATAGTCTACATTCTTCCCTGGGTTTGGAAGAAGAGTTCCTATTGAAAGGAGGGTCTACATTAAGTCTGAGTTCCAAAGTAAAGTTTCTCCATTCCGATGTCTAGCACTGTTCATATGTGCACATTCCATAAGGACAGGAGATGAGTTCTTAGGTAAAGAATGGGGGCTTTGGGCCTGGTATGGTAGCATACAACTGTAATCCCAGAGTCTTAGGAGGCTGAGACAGGAGGATTGCAAGTTCAAAGCTAGCCTCAGCAATTTAAGGAGGCCCTGAGCAACTTAGCAAGTCCCTGTCTCAAAATAAAACATAAAAAGGACTGGGGATGTGGTTCAGTGGTAAAGTGTCCCTGGGTTCAATCCAAGGTACCAGAAAAAAGGCAGGGGGGGGCGGGGAGGGCTGGTGACTGGTAGTGACAAATGTTCAGTTATAGGAAAGAGAAACAGTTCTGGATATAGCCAGATTTTGCTGCCCAGCTAGGTCTATTCTGGGTTTTGTTGGGTCTTCCTGACCTCTGAGTGACAGAGAATTTACACTATAAAATTGTTTCCATGAGTCAAACAGTCTTATGGAAAGCTCTTACACACACAAAAATCAAAGCTCTCCTCAACCTCTGCTAGAAAGTGAACCATATCTGGTCACAATTATGCACACCTATAATCCCAGCCACTCTCCAGCCTCCACCTCTGCCAGAAAATGAGCCATAGCTGAGTATGGTGGTACACACCTGTAATCCCAGTCCCTTGGGAAGCAGGCAGATTGTAAATTCAAGGCCAGCTTTGACAATTTAGTGAGATCCTGGCTCAAAATAAAAAGGGCTGGGGGTATAGCTCAGTAGTAGAGTGCTTGTCTAGCATGCATGAGGCCCTTGGTTCAATCTCCAGTACTGCAAAAAAAGAAAAAGAAAAAAAAAAAAAACACCACAGTGGAAACAGTGATAGGTTAAAAGGCAAAAGACCCTGCCCTAGAAAATATCCACAAATAGTGTTGTCAAACATTTTATGGATTTCATGGTAGTGATTAATTAAATGTGATGCTATAGTAGTATTGTTTTATTTGTTACTACTGGACCACAATACCCACATCTGGTTTTTCTCAAGGGAACCATATTTGCTTTTGGTTGACGGATAATTTAATCTATTTGGTACTATCAAGAATAATGTTAAACAAATATCCTTGGCTGTATTGTAGATGGGTTGCCTGCATGGTGGTAAAATAAGATTTTCCTTCTTGCCTAAATCCTTTGGAAGATTTTTACTGGTATATAAACTCTTTAGGGAAGGCTATTCTCATTGTTGGAACTTGGCACACAGCTCAAGACTACTTGTTGGAGGGCTACTACAGATTGGACCCTGGTGTTGGGAGTGAGGCTAAGAAAGAGGGCTTGAAGCTCACATAGAAATAAGCTCTCATTCAAGTGAAGATGCTCTCCTGCACTGCTTGATCAGAACTAAGGAGGGAAGAATGAAAATCCTTCTCACAAAGAAACTTGCAGCTTGAAGGAACCCATGTACCCAGGTCAGTAGACCTGGAGTTCATCTGCTCAAACCCAAAAAACTTTTAAGCTTCCTTAACAGGCCTCATGGCTTAAGAGTGAGAAAATAATGTTGCACTGAGTGCAGTGGTATATGCCTGTAATCCCTGTAACTTGGGAAGCTGAGACAGGAGGATCACAAGTTCAAGGCCAGCCTCAGCAACTTAATGAAACCTTGTATCAAAAAAATAAAATTTAAAAAGGGCTGTGGATATAACACAGAGGCAGAATGCTCCTGGGTTCAATCCCCAGTACCAAAAAGAAAAAAAGAACATTGCTGCGCTCTCTGGAAACCATTAGAAATTACAGTGAACTCCAGACCTCACCAGAACATGAGATTCAGCAGCCTGGCCAAGCTATGTACTCCTTATTTTTATCCTCACACTCAGAACACTGTGAGGAAGCATGTTGGAATTCCAGAAGCTTTCTGTTAACAACTGGCCACACAACCAAGTCTCTGCATGCACTGCTCCTCACAGGAGTTAGCAATTTGCATTTATTTTGGACTAATTAAGGTGTCAGCTTAGTGTCTTAATTATTTTTGGAGATAGACAAGTTACTATACATCGTATATTTTGAGGCTGCATTGTTGATACCTTGTGCAGTGGCCACTACGTAATTATATACCATGTGTTAGGTACTGATTACATCATTTGCATCATATTCAGTATGCAGATTTATAGATGTGAATGTTCTGTGACCAGAGTCAGGGAGGACACAGATGAAATCAGCTCCTGGTGGAGTTCAAATCCTGAACACTCTGTTCACCTGATCTACTGCATCTAGATTGAGTGTATTTTAACAAAGAAAACATTAAATGATTTTATGTAAAAAGAATGGCTTTTTTTCCCCTTTATTATTTTACCCTCTGCCCGTGGTATCCTTGGGCACTGCACATGCTTGACTTCCTTATGGTATTTCAGGCTACAGAAGCTGTTGTCCTCTGCTTCAGTCTTACATCATCCAGGGGTGGAATTATTTGTGTTTACAACAGTAGATAGTATCTATGGCATCATGGAGTCCATATTTTCTATCAGATAACAGCAGCTGCAGCATATCATAGTCAATCTACAGATGAAGACAAGATTGAGCATCAGAAAAATCAGGTGTAGTCCAAGTTCCTTGTTGGCTTCTTCCCAATGCACCATGTTTAGGAAAGTCGATTTAAAAATACAATGCATGGTATTTACATAAGCCCAGATTGTCATGATATCTTTCAGTTTAAAAAAAAAATGGACATGAGATTCAATTCAGCAAAGTTTGAGAACTTGCTATGTGATATTTGGTCTGCATTTTTGGGATAGGGGTCAGGGAACAAGTGAGACCTAGGTCCAAAACTCTTGAAGTGAACATTTAGCAAGGAAGCCAGACTTTAGACAATGCTCCTCAGTGGGATGAATGTCAAAGGGAAGACCTAAGGGAGCAAGGAATCCATAACAGGGACTTAACCCAATCTGAAGGATCAATGAAAGCAACTCCTCAGAGAGACTCAGAGTTTCAACTCAAGAGAGACTTGCAACAAAATCACTCTTCTTCCTACAGAGATGAATTTTTTTAAATGTAGGAGCATGGAAGCCACACCTAGGGCTTCCATTCCCATGAACAGCATCACTCTCTATCCAAGTACAAAAGTCAGAATCCCAAGAGGGATTCTGTGTGGTCACTGAATTTGGTGTTCTCCAATAGACCACATATCTTCATGCCCTTGTGTAGTCCCCATTCTAAATCTGAGTTGGTTGTTGATCTTCAACCCATAGAATGTGGCAAAACTGGCAGTTTCCATTTTTGCACTTTGAGGGATGCCAGTCACCATATGAATCCAACTACCCTGAGACTGCTATTCAACTACATAGAAAAGCCATGCAGAAGAGACCCAAGGAACAGCTGACAGCAAAAATCTGAGATCCCAGTTGGGTGAGGTGACGCATGCCTATAATCCCAACTGAGGCAGGAAGTTCCTAAACTCAAGGCCAACCTCAGCAATTTAGCAAGACCCTGTCTCAAAAAATAAAAAGGGCTCGCAGTGTAGCTCATGGTAAAGTGCCCATGGGTTCAATCTGCTGTGCCAGAAAATAAATAAAACATTTCAAGTAACTTTCCTTTGCCTCTGGGATGAAAATTGTCAGTCTTCAGAATAGCCCGCCATGGTTTGGCAAAGCTCTGCCAAATTCCTGGCTTCTACTCACTGTCCTAGAGATTTTTTAGTTTTCTAACATAATAATCTTTTACTTTCTATCCTCTGCCAACACCTTTTGCCTCAGAGATTTTGTGTATACTGTTCTCTCTTTCTAGAATCCTTTTCTACTGTCCCTACCTCCTTTGCTAAATACCTCCTGGTTATCTTTGTAGATTTAAGCAAGAAAATCACTTCCTTACAGATGCTTTTCCTTCCACAGACAGGGCTAAATCTCCCTTGAAATTCCTCTCATTCCTTTCTTTCTTAGCACTTGTCTTAGGTATAATATTCATTTGAATGATGGCATCATTTGGAATTTGTGTGAGTGTTTTACTTAAGTATTTTCTGACTCCTTCACTAGACTGAGCTCCAATTTGGTCTTATGCGAGATCACCCTTTAAGGGAGTAACATACCATCTGTGATGGAGCAGCCTAATTCTTTGTTGCTACTCCCATTGATGGGGGTGGGGGGGTGAGGGTGTCCCTTCAAATCTGATTCCATGACTCCTTGACTAAAAGAGTACAGCAGAGGGTGCTGGGGATATAGCTCAGTTGGTAGAGTGCTTGCCTCATTAAGACACTGGCACTTTCTGTTTTCTGTCAATTTGGATGCTTTCTCTTTAGCTCAACTACTATGCTATGAGAAAGTTAAGGCAGTCCATGAAGAGAACCAAGACCTTGGTCCTCAGTTCTAGCTGAGACCCAACATGCCAGTCATAAGAGTGAACCATCTTAGAAGTGGCACTTCTGACCCCAGTTAAACCATTCCAGCTGACACTGTATGAAACAGTGTCAGCTGACATGTTTCATACAGTGTCAGCTCGCATCCTTGAGCTCTCCCCACAATGCAGATTCATGAACAAAATTAGTATTAGTACTATAAATTTTGGGGTAGTGAGGATCGGGCCCAGGAGCATTCTGCCTCTGAGCTACATCCACAGCCCTTTTTAAAAATTTTATTTTGAGATAAGTTTTTACTAATTTGCCTAGATTGTCCTTGAACTTGGAATCCTCCTGCCTTAGCCTCCCAAATTTCTGGGATTACAGGCAGGTCCCACTGTGCCCAGCTTAGCAAAATGATTTATTTTATTTTTTTAAAATATTTTTTTAATTTTAGGTGGACACAATATCTTTATTTTATTTTTATGTGGTGCTGAGGATCGAACCCAGTGCCTCACGCATGCTAGGTGAGCGCACTACCATTTGAGACACATCCCCAGCCCCAGCAAAATTATTTTTAAGTGATTTACAAAAAATTGGGAGTAGTTTATTATAAAACAATAGATAACCTGAATATCAATTAGAATGACAAACTTTTCCTGGGGCAGGATCACAGGCTATTTGTGATGTCATGTTATCCTGAGTCTCACTGAGCCTTGGTTGGCCAAAAATCTGAGTGCTTTTGACTTATAAAGTACGAGTCTGTGGTGGGCCCCAACCAGGGTGACCTAAGTACTATGTGTGCTCCAGGAGGCTCATACTACAGGGGAAATTTGGAGATTAGGGTAGGGAAAAGAAATCTGTGAAGCAAAACACACAAGGGTGCCTAAACTGACTGTTGCTTCCCCTTTTTGTAGTATAATAGGACCTGGAAGAAGGCTCAGGGTTGGTGTTTGAGTGCTGCCCACTCATTGACACTTAAAGGAAGTAGGGCCTGCCTGTCCTCAGGACTGATTGAGAAGTAGAAGATATAATAGAGGGGCTGGGGTTGTGGCTTATTGGTTGAAGCACTGGGTTCAATCCTCAGCACCACATAAAAATAAATAAACAAAATAAAGGTATTTGTAAATAATGATAATTATATATGTATAATTTTCTTATCTAGTGTATATATGTATACATATGTATATCTAGTGTATGTATGTGTACATATATATATACACATATATACACTAGATAAGCAAATTTCCTGTAAACTTAAATTCTCAAGAATTGTTGGGGGGCCAGGTTTGTAGCTTAGTGGTAGAGAGCTTGCCTAGCATGTGTGAGGCACTGGGTTCAATCCTCACCACCACATAAAAATAAACATTAAATAAAGGAATTTAAAATATTCTAAAAACTATGTTCTTTAAAACATTAAACTAAAAATATTCTTTAAAAAAAAAGAGAGAGAGAGTTGATAGGATTCCCCTATCCCATGCGGCTCCTTTAAGAGGCGGGACCCACCCCTGCTAACAGAGGAAGTCCCCACCCCCTGTTGCCAGGGTGCTCTGTGGCGTCGCATTCTCATTGGTGGGCGCCGTAGTAAGGCGCCTGGCGGCAGCCATTTCCAACGAGCTGGCGGGGGCGAAAGATGGCGACGCCCCTCGGGTGGTCGCAGGGGGGGTCAGGATCTGTGTGTCTCGCCTTCGATCAACTGCGGGACGTGATTGAATCTCAGGAGGAACTAATCCACCAGCTGAGGAATGTGGTACGCAGCGGAAGAACTCTGGTAGAGGCTGGACTGGACGCCTCACTGGCGGGGGCGGGGCCAGACCCTGTTTCGATGCAAGGGGCGTGGCTAGGACGCTACTAAAGGCGTCTTTGGGAAGGCAGAGACGGAATGGGACTTGGCTGGAAGGGGTGGAGCCAAAAGGGCGTGGGACCTTCCAGAATATTTACCAAGGAATTTAAATTTAAATTGAGTACTCTGCGTTATTGCTGCAGGGCATAGTAATAGTCACTGAGCTTCAGTTTCTCTATTTTTAGTGGAGACGACTTCACTGATTTCCCAGTGCCCTCACTTGCACGCAGAAAACACTGTATCATCTCTTCTACTATGTGTCAAGTACATTGCCATAATGAGTGCAGTAAGCACAGATTTGGCCCTTGATCACGTTAACTCAAGAACCTCCAGCCCAGCCTATATGTCCCTTTGCTTTTGCCTTCTCAAATTCCAGCTAATAGATGCATAGATGCTAATTGGAGCCACAGATTACTTCCAATGCTAGACAGCTGGAGTTCATAGTTTTTCTGGTTTTGTTTTTCTATCTTGGTAAGAATGTTCAGATGTATCTCCATCTCAGAAATAAAACTGGATTCACATCTGTTTCTCACTCTAATGATTCTTAGACAACTTCTTTCCTTCTGGGAAGTTGGATGTGGGAGGAAGAAGTGAGACACATGCTCCCTTGGCTACCCTAATACCCTATTTCAACAAAATGTATGCAGCTCTAGGTACTGAATTACCTTCCATTCCCTGAAGGTACCCATATCTTTTTCTTGGCAGCTGGCCTTGGCTTGTATGTTCCAACCATCTGGAACACTTTTCTCTATGTCTCTTCTATCTTATTTAGCAATCAGATCTCAGAACTCATGTCACCTCTTCAAAAGCAAATCTAACCCTTCCCCAAGCTGGATCAGAAGCCCCTATGGGCACCACACCGCCTTGTGCTTTCCCATCACTGGCATTAAACACATCTGTGGAATGTCCCTCCTTGAGGGCAGGACTTTTTTTTTTTTTTTTTTAGATGTTGATGGACCTTTATTTTATTCGTTTATTTATATGGGTGCTGAGAATAGAACCTAGTGCCTCACGCGTGCTGGGCAAGTGCTCTACCACTGAGCCACAACTCCAGGACTTATAGATGGAATTCAGTGAATGTGTGGAATTGATTATCCCTTCCAAGGACCTGCCTCATCCTAGGTGCCCTGGGCATCATCCCATTATCCATCCTTTGTC